AAGAATATGCAATAGCAAGTGTTGCTGTCTGCTCGTATTCTCATTGCTTTTTTCAAGCTGTTATAGCACAGAACATGTTCCTCTTTAACAGACACGAATCGTAGGAAAGGAAAACATGTACGCGCAGCACGCGGACTTTCATCTGTTTACAGGCTCAGTAGGTGGAGGCACAGAGCTGTCAGCATCTTGCAACATTTCCTGCCAACATTTCCTGGTGAAGCAAAATCCCAACACCAACTGAAAGGATTTTACATTCATCTGCACCTTTGTAACTTTTTTTAACCACTTCCACTCAGTGACGTTCAAAACTCTGTGACCATATCAGACATCAGTCCTTCTTTCATGCAAAGCTGAAGATTAGTCAGAAAGTCAGAGGTGGCAGGAGCACAAGATTTTCTGAAATGATGAAATATTTCAGATTCCGCTTTATTTCCAGGTCAGCAATCAGACTGAAGCAGATGTCATCAGTTATGTTAATACCAGCATTCAGATGATTCTCAGATGGTTTTCATTTTAATCAGCCTCCGAGAAATATGTATGTGCCTCAAGCTTCCCGCACTAAGCAACAATGGGATTTAGTTTTATTCTTTATTTGTCAAGGACCACTACTGTGGCCATGACTGGTTTCTTAGAAACAAAATCTAAATGAAAAAGGAGACTCTTTAAAGGCGGAGCTTCTGTTGGGAACTTTACTGTAAGCGGCTGATGTGACAGCTGTTTATGTATTCTGAGAAAAAACTGCAACTCGTTTCCATAGTAGCAGTTTTACAAAGTATCCTGAACTGTTGAGATGAGGTGAAACAGTCTAAAGTCCAGTTTTTATTCTGACAAAGAAGGGACTCGGAGTCAACTCATAGCTGGACTGAAGGATTCTAAGGACGTACGCAGCTGGATCAGCTGGGCCCAAAGCACCTGATGTGAGCACAGCATCAGAAGATCAATGCATCACACTTGGTTCAAATAAAAAACAGAACAGAAAATTCTTTTAAAATGCATAGAAGGCTTTGTAGTAATGCTCTCAGAGGACAAGCAGTGTCTCTAAACCATTTCTTGGAAGGAGACACAAGGAAAACCCCTCAGGCTGCAGGACTCAGAGAAACCAGTTAAAAATCCCCACTGAATAATTCCAGTTAGAGATTAGTGGCAATAGAAAGGTGACTGTGAGGCGACAAACACAAAGGAAAATGAAAAAGAATGCACAATAAGACTTTTCATTACATTTAACAAATTTCAGTTTTCATTATGGACATCTGCCTGTTTACAGATGTCTCTACAACCAACCTTATTTATTCAGTGATACATGGCACGAAAGAGGAAAGCACTTCAAATTCTGAGGAACAGTAAATCAAATATATACTCTGCTCAAAAAAATGAAAGGCACGCTTTGAAAGCCCTTCAGATCTAATGGGGACAAACAGCATTCTGGATGTCTGTACTGATATGGACAGCGTGATGTGTTCAGAATAAACCTACAGAGAGTTGAATTCAAAGACGCCCTGAAAATCAAAGTGAAAAAATAATGCAGCGGGCTAGTCCATTTTGGCAAAATCTCAGTAGTTTGCACGGCCCCACATGCTTGTATGCATGCCTAACAGCGTTGGGGAATGTTCCCTATGAGACCACGGATTGTTTCTTTGGGGAGTTCCCCTCAAATCTGGACCAGGACATCACTGAGCTCCTGGACAGTCTGAGGCGAAACCTGGCAGCCACCCATGGACGAAGCATAATGTCCCAGAGGTGTCCTATTGGTTTCAGGTTAGGCGAGCGTTATGGGTCAGTCAGTGGTATCAATTTTGCCTGTAGAGATCTGTGCATCCCTCCATGGATATGTTGCCCCAGACGATCATTGGACCACCACCGTTTGACATCGGTGGTATAGCTTTGAAATCGGTGGTGATTGGCCCGTAACACTCGCCTAACCTGAATCCGAGTTAGACTAATGAAGGTTATCTCTCTCATCATGTCAAATGATGTCACAGGTAACACAATGTTCTCCCCACCCTCTTCTGACCTTTTCACGTCTGTCGCATGTGGTCAGGGTCAACCTGCTCTCATCTGTGAAAAGTACAAGGTGCCAGTGGTGGACCTGCCAGTTCTGATAAGCTCTGGCAAATGCCAATCTGGCTCCATAGAACCAGGAAGTAATCACAGGTCCCACTAAAGGACATTCAGTTCTCAGGCCACTTTCACAAAGTCTGTTTCTGACTGTTAGATCAGACATATTCACACCAGTGTCCTGCTGGAGGTCATTATTGTAACTCTGGCAGTGTTCATCCTGTTCCTGCTTGCTTGAAGAAGCAGATACCGGTCCTGCTAATGGGTTAAGGACCTTCTACAGCCCTGTCCAGCTCTCTTACATTAACCGACTGTCTCCTGGAATCTCGCATGCTCTTAAACCTGTGCTGGGACACACAGCAGACCTTCTGGTAATGGCATGTGTTGATGTGCCATCATGGAGGAGGTGAGCTACCTGTGCACCTCTGTAGGGTCCAGGTCTCAACAGCCCAATGCAAAACTATTGAAAAAGAGTCAAAAAAAAGAAGAGCAGGGAAAAATGTCAGCAGCTGTCACCAACAAAACCATTGCTGCTTCAGGGGTTGTCTCATTGTTGCCCCTCCACCGAACCTGCTGTTAATTCCATAAACACCAAAGCAACTGAAACTAATTAACTTCTGTACTAATTAACAGACCAGATCAGTGTCCCAGACGTTTAAATGTCTTGATATATACTCTGTTTAAAAAATGGTATTTTAATTGTTTTGAGCAGTGTACATTAAAGCGTATATTTTAATGTCCATCCATTTGTCTTTGCTTATCCTTTTCAGGGTTGCAGTGGAGTCTATCTCAGCTGTCTTAGAGTGGGAGGCAGGGTACACCCTGGACAGGTCACCAATGTGTCGCAACTATGGGCAATTTAGAGTTTCCAAATAGCCTATCCCCACTAACTGCATGTCTTTGGACTGTGGGAGGAAGCTGGCGGGAACCACACAAACACGGGGAGAACATGCAAACTCCACACAGAAAGCCCCTGGCCTGATGGTGGAATTGAACTCAGGACATTCTTGCTTGCTGTGAAATTGTTCTTGCACCGTGCTGCGCATAATTTAATGTGTGTTTTTTTTTTTTAAATGTCTAACTTTACCTTGTAGAATTACAGATTTCCCGCTAAAAGAAAAGTCCAGGTCAGAGTAGAGCTCAAAAGCTCAAGTGATTGATAGTTTGAGAGACTGGCCATCAGAAAATGAGCACCTACTAAAAATATTCCACTAATTTCTGGTTTCAGTTAGGAACTTTAATCTTAGAACTGACTGACAAACACGTCATGAAAACCAACCAACAAACCATCGGACGTTTTAAGCGCCATTTCTGGTTTCAGTGACTCGTAATTTCTAAAGTTTGATAACATGTATCCTGAAAGCATTTTGGCTGAAGACCAGTGATATCAAAACTTCTTTTAATCATTTAGTTCTGTTCTACGTTTACACACTGCTGGTGACACAGACTGAGGTTTGTGACATTTTCGATGAATAAAAGCTCGTTTCACACACAGACTGGTCTGTTACTGGGCCTGAACTGTGTTTTGTTCTGTCCCAGCTGCCAGCTGTGACTTTCTGTCTGCTGCATACAACAGCTGTTATG